GTTTCTGTTTGAATTGTCACCTGAATTTTATGTTTCACTTTATATAAATAAAGACAGGAGGATCCTGGGGGCCCTGTGATACCCTTTTTGTAAAATGCTGCACTCCCAATATTATTACAGAATTTAATTTTGATTGTATATCTTATGTAACGGGGACACACTTCCACAAAGGTTGATAGTAAATTTCATATAGCAGATGTATTTGGTGGGTCTGCTGGTCAGTAAAAGTTGTATTGTGTGTTCCACCAAACTATTGACTGTAGCTTCAGCAATGCCAAGAGTGAAACAAAAATAGTCTAACCATTTTGCTTTGTTAATATGACACAAATAAACACTCAGACAATAGTCCATTTTTTCTGTCTTTGGTTAAAAGTAGTGATGATTGATCATGAACTGCTATTTCAAAATGTGTTATTTGTCCCTAAACACTGATGTTAATTGCTTGTCAGTTCAGCCCATGAAGAGGAACCAGAAAACAATTGTTTTTTCATAAAGATAATTTTTCAGTTTCTGAGATCCTTACTGCCTTTCTGGCAAAGTGGCTCCCACTGAAGTAACTCTTAGGGGGCTTTCACAACTGAAAGTCTGCACCAAGGTCCGAACCAAAGTTCATGTTTTGATACATTTTGATACATTCAGTAAGTTTTGGTTTGGTTTCACACTGCATTTATGCAAGCGCACTAAAGGACTTTACAACACAGACCTGCGTTCTGTCGTCATCATCCATACTTGACATCGATTGGTCTGTAAACGGACGTGCGTCTGGCGTCAGCGTGTTGTCAATTTGGCGGGTAACAGTACTCTTCGGCCAGAATGAATGAACAGATGCATATTGTTGCCGCTGTATTGTTGCTATTATGGCATTATTACCTGCAACACCAACTGTACTCCAGGCTAATGTTAGTTCACATTTGCCAAATGAACTTCCTTGTTGTGCGAAAGTCATATCACCGCCTCCGCCAGGAAAGCAGGAGAAGACTGAAAGCAATCATTCGGGGGCTGGCACCTATGTTATGGGAGAGGCCAAGGTGAGTGTCAATATGCTTCCATAGTGGCAGTCTGTCTTAAAATTGCACTGCATCTTCACTTTAAACTGTAAAAACATTAAGCTGCTAATACCATTATATATTTGTTTGTTTTTTTAAATTGTAACCTTTTATCACTGGTGTTTTCATTATATCTGAGTATAATGACAATAAAAATCATTCTAAAGTACTAAATTCTAAAGTAAGATGATCACAGGCAAGTTATAATTATATCCTTTTTTCATTGTGTAGTGAACAACAGTGTGGATTTGTGCATTTTATATTAAATAAATTTGAACTACTCAAAACTATTCCCCTCTCCCTGAGAGAAGGAGAGGGGGTTAATTATCAACCCTCTACAGACGGCTGAAGAGACCTCAACAGAAGGGGAGTGGAAAGGTCACTTTCCCTAAGTGCTATTCATGAGCAGTTGTTTGTAAAACGGGCCACCTTTGGCAACAGCCGAGATAAGTCTCTCGGTGCCTGAATTGTTAAAATGACAAAGAAACTAACCAGAGATTACAAACAGCCTATCGGAACTCCCCTTTAAAGGGAGCAGGAAACCCTAAACTGCCCCACCACACACACACGTAACTGTGGCAACTGACCTTGCTCTGTGTTTCATTACCTCATCAAAGGGATACTCTGTCACGTCTAGATGTGACAAAATCCAGAGCACCACGGACAGCCCTGAACTTTGTATAAACAAAGACTGTCTCCCAAGACTCAAAGCATTAACTGTTTAATTAAATAATCTAATCTCTAGTTACTTGATTACATTTGCCTTTATTTGAGTAGTTATGTTACCATGTTGTTGCTATCTGTTGTTGATATTATTGCTGAAAAGAATCTAAATAAGTTACTTTTGCAGTGTTTTTATTTTCAGCAATATTAATGACACTCCGTCATCTTATGTGTAACCAATGCTTGTTCACAATACTTTCTCACACAATTCCTTTAGAAATGATGATAAAGAAATAGTTCCTAAGGAAAGATTGTTTTGGATTAATCTAAGCTTTCCTCATGTAACCTGAGCTTCCCCAAGTGGTTACAAGTATTACATACCATCGTCGGAAATGCCGTTAATGTATAAATGTCACTCATTTATCATGACCAATAATTTGACAAGTGTTTTCCTGTTACCAAATGCTTAACTTAGAACGGTACAACTGTTTGACCATTGAGGTTTGATTGTGGAAAATATTTGATTATAATACGCGCAAATAGATTTTCTTTTCTTTTATAGACATTAAAAGTTTAGAAAGACAGTCCCTCGGGAAACCGGAAACACTCCCTGTGAGAACGAAGGACTGCCCCCTGGGGGAACCACGCCCCAGACCACAAACAAACGTCTCTCTCTCTCTCTTCTCTTCCGCTCTGCTCCCTGGACGCTTCGGCACCTCTCTCGGCAATGCCCTAAGAATTCGACCAGCGCAACGAAGTCTTTATTTCGCTTGAAGCTAAACACGCGAAGTGCCGCGACATCGATTTTTTTTCCTCTTTTAACAGCAACTTTACTTGTTATTATTTTTTGTTTTCATTTGTTAAAAGTTATCAGTCCGTTAAGTTACACTAGTTAATTCAAAAACGACCAAGTTCTTTTTAAGCTCTATACGTCGAGCTAAGCCCACGGAGGTCAGACAACGCCACATGGCTTGCCAGCAACAACAAAGGATGACTTAAACCTTCCAGAGACAGACCCCGGAGAAATTCCCCGGCAGAGAAAACGACTGGCTGACAGCTTTAAGTTGACCTAACCGAGAACGCACAGACTCTGCCAGCAACCCGGCGGGAAGAAACACAAGCAGTAAGACCAAAACCCTACATTCTGTGGTCAGTGACGTCCAATCGTTGCTAATCCATTTTTCTTTAGTCCAGCATATGGAATCTTTATACCCCTAGACAAATTTAACCGAGTTATCATCTAATTGCGTTCGTTAGTTGCCGTATGAGTCAAATGCTTCCCACAATCGAACCTCCATTCTCATTGTTTAGCCATTGTTTATTTCCCTGATGTATTTATTTCCCTGATGTATTTAACCACCCTTTTATATTGCTTTAGTTAGTTAATAAATTCACTGTAATCAAGGAATTGTGTGTGTTGCCTCTTTCTACGTCCCTGCCAAGAGAATTGACCCTCTAGATATAAGACTGACTGATTGATTTAAGATAAATGAGCGATTATTAACTAACTGATCACTGGTGAATAATTATTATTATAATTATTAAAAGCTACCTAGAGGTCCGGAGACTCTAGGATAATAACAACTCCGGTGGTGCCCCTTCTTTTTTGAAACGAGAGCTTTTTATGGATTGATATTTTCTGAATATTAAAATTCATAATTGGGTATTAATTCTCATAAATTTATTAAAATTCATAGCTAGTTGAGACATGCTACAAATTTCTGTGCATAGAAATCCAACAAGATCATTTAAAATTTAAAATTAAATGTCAGAATGTCAACATAATACAATTAAATTTTATTTATATAGCACCAAACCACAACAACAGTTATCGCACAGTGCTCATAGTGCTCATTCATAAAAGAGCAGGTCTAGACCGTACTCTATGATGTTATTTACAGAAGCCCAAAAATTCCCACCAAGAGCAGCACTAGGCGACAGGCAAGGAAAAACTTCCTTTTAAGAGGCAGAAACCTCAAGCAGAACCATGGCTCCAAAGATTAAAATCTGCAATTAACATAAATGGCTTTTTTTCTCATCTTTTACAGGAACATCTGAGTCCAGCCAAGGTGTAGTGCTTGGTGGCAGCATGTATGTGACAACTGGACAGAGAGAGATTGGCGGCTCAACTTCCGAATGAGAAGAACAACCTTCCATCATCTCTGTGACAGTCTTCGTCAAAGGCTGACTTGACAGGATACAAGATATCGGCAGGCAGTGGCGGAGTTGCGTGTGGCAATATGCGTGTGGAGGCTGGCCACCAATCTCGAGCTCCAATCTATCTCTCACCTCTTTGGTGTGGGAATGTCAAATGCTTGTGTCTTCACCCAACAAGTTGTCGCTGCTGTCAACTTAAAGCCACAATACCTACAAACACCTTCAGCTGCAGAACTCAGAGAAATAGTCAGAGGATTCAGTGACAGGTGGGGGTTTCCTCAGTGTGCAGGAGCTGTGGATGGTACCCATATTTGCATTCTGGCACCACCTCACAACCCAGCTGACTACTACAACCGCAAAGGCTTCTACTCAGTAATCCTGCAAGGTGTTGTGGACCATAATATGAAATTTTGGGATGTCAACATTGGCTGGCCTGGGAGGGTTCATGATGCCCGCGTGTTCTCAAACTCGTCTCTTTATGAACGAGGGCAGAAAGGAACACTCTTGCCAGGATGGCAAGAAACCATTTAGGATACGGAGGTACCTCTTGTGATACTAGGAGATGCCGCGTGTCCACTCCTACCTTGGCTAATGAAGCCATACCCGGAGGGCAGAGGCATAACACCAGAACAATCTGCTTTCAATCACCGTTTGAGTCAAGCCAGAATGACTGTGGAAAGGGCTTTTGGACGGTTGAAGGGAAGGTGGAGGTGCCTGTTGAAATGATGTGATTGTCATGTTACTCTATTCAGTGACATCATCCTCGCCTTCACAATTTTTGTGAGAGTCACAATGAAGAATACATTGGCGATGAAGACCATGATACAAGACCAGACCCTGCAGACCGTGTCATTGGTGGTGAGAGTGGGGCAAATATTAGAAATGCATTATGTGCTCATTTTTCACAATTGTAGGTATGAATATTGTTTTGGCATTCGAGCCTTTGTATTGCATTAATGCTTGTTCTGCAAACTCAATCATTATTGACTGTTTTGTTTTGCAACTGACTACAAGAAATTAATCATTATTTTACTGAAGTTTATTGGTAAAGTAGTTGTCTTCATCTTGTTTTGTTCGTAATTACATCTCACTTTAGTATGTTGTTTGTAAAGTCGAGATGACACAATGTTACATTTTTGTCAACATTTATTATAGAAAAATAAAATAACTTTCCCAATATTAACACTTTTAGGGATCAACTTTAGCACCAAAGACATAAGGCAGACTCAAACAGAGCCAAACAGGTATTAACTGAGAAAATATGGCTCTTGTGACATTCACTTCAACGTCTCTGCATAAATGTTTTTGTTTTCAGCTCCGAACAGACTTGGCCATGTAAAATATAAAATCGATACAGCTATACTGTATAGAAGGTCAAATGAAAAGTAAAAACACAGCATCATAAATACAGCATACAGTGCTGGGCAAATGAAAAGTGCTGGGTGCTGTTCAGTAAAATAAATTACGACTGCATAACTGAAAATAAATTACAATTAAAGAATTTCTTCTGCTTCTCACTTGGTTCACCACTATCATTTGGATACAGGACACGTGGGGTCAGATCAAATGGGTTTGTAGGTTGGGCCTGCAGAGTTGGTAGGTGTGGAGACGGCTGTGCAACCCAGTCCAGGAGCTGGAGGTGGTGGATGATATTGGGGATTTTGGGGACCCCAGGATGCTGCATGGTGTAGCGCTTAGCTGTGGTGAGACATGCTTTGTATTAAGGTCTGCATGAAGTTCATGAACACAGCATTTGCAGCATCCTGAAGGGCGTCTCCTCAATCTCCTTCTGCATTTTCATCCACTTTTCCAGAGTGGCATTCTCCCTCTCCTGTCTCCTGTATTGTTGAACTCATCCTGCAACCTCTTGTACTCCTGAATTCTTCCATCATCCTTGGCCCTCCTCTTTCTGCTACGGTAAGGGGCTGCGGTCCTTGGCCCAGCTTCCTCTTCATTGCTGGTAGCTGAATTTCCTCCTGTAACATAAAATGGAGTTATGTTGAATTAAATATGTATGCAAGTGTCTGATATATAGCATAGCATACTACTGGCATTAATCTACAATAGAATACAATTTAATCATCATGATAAAAATGATTGTTTTCAACGTTTTCTTATCAATTAGCCTACACCATAGTTCATAGGCTATGTTTGTGTTTTTGAGAACATACGCTGTACTCTGTTGAAACAATAATGAACGCTGAATTAAATATTTTTGCAGTATGACAGTATAAATGAGAAGCACAGCCAAAGAAAACTTGGCTACCTTTGAATAGTTAGTAAATGTTAAGTACTCAACAATTCCGTAAGTGTTTTCTGTGGCACTGACCTCATCAGTAGATGCACTTGAAGTTGAGGCAGGTGGGGAAGACTCCACCACCTTTAAGGGTGAGCTTGTTGGGTGAGTGCCTGGGATGCTCTCCAGGTCGTCATAAAAAGGACACTTGTCCTTCGCATTTGTCAACGCACCACTTTTTCTCATGGCATCACACACCTTTGCATACTGCTGCCGCAGTTTCTTTATCTTCAGGTGGCATTGCTCTCCCGTCCTCCCATACCCTCTCTCTACCATCCTCTCCGAAAATACTTGAAAAGTGTCCGCACTTTTGTACGTTTTTTCCAGTTGACTTTTTATTATGTCGTCCGACCATATTTCAATTAAAAACTTTGTCTCCTCCTCTCCCCAAGTGCTACCGCGGCTCATTTTCGTCGTCTTCTCTCGGTTGTTTCCGGTTTACACGGGGAAAACCGGACCATCCTGTAAATAGTCTGAAAGTCCGAATCATCCAAAAAATGCTTTCACACTAGAAACGAACTGAACCATGTTCAGTTTGATCCGGACCGAGACTACCTCTTTTCGTCGGACCAAGTTTGGTCCGGACCGTGGTCCGTTTCACACCTGAAATTTTGGTTCGGACCAAACGAGGTAGGTGTGAAAGCCCCCTTAAACAACCGGTCTTAACTATGTGTTAACTATAACTTATGTCTAGTGTCCATCTTTATAGCACAATCCCAGTTTTTTGTTTACTGTAATGAGAATGATTCAAAACAGAGACCAGATTTTTTTTGGAATAGAATAAAATCTAGCCCCTGTTGCCACTTTCCCCTTGTTTAGCTGGGAAATTTGGTCAAGTGGTGGCAGGCTGACTGGCTAGGCACGGGAAAGAGCCGGGAGAACGCCGTGGAGGAGGTCCGACGGGAGAGGGCACGGTGGCAAGCCCAGCTGACACAACGGAGGATGGAGGTGAGTGAACATGGAGGGAAGACAGAGGGGAAAACCAAGAACAGGAAAACAAAGATGATGCAGGTTACGCAAGAGCTTGAGTGAATAAGTGGCACCAGGTTTGGAGCAACGACTATCAAGTGGAGATTGTGTGGAGAACTGGAGGTGAAATACTGGCAGGGATGGAGTTGATTGCTGGCAGGTGTGGCAGGCAGAGGAGGTGGCTGACGAGGTACACGTGTGGATCGTAAGCTGGGCTCAGGAGCAGGGGGAGAGGAGGAGACACAGACAGGCAGGCTAAAACACAAGCGAAAAACAGAATCACAAGAAAAAAGGAGAAAGAAACAGGACACTCACTGTCAGCCGGGCTGCCACCACAACATAAGATATAATTATCACAAAAATTATTAAAAATTGAAATAAAATACACAGATAAAACCAAACACGTGTGTGTGTGTGTATTAATGGACAAAAAATTATTATTAATTGATTAAAAAAATCTGTATCAAATGTGAAATTTAAGAACAGAACAATAAAATATCAAACAATCAAAATAATTATTTGAAAATTAGTACAATTATTTATCAGTCTGAGTTCCGTCTGAGCAAAGACGGAGCAAGACAACACAGTCAGATGACAAGGCAACAGACGACAAAAGCAAGTTGAGTTGACACAGTCATGTGACCCATCGACATAGACAGCATGCCAACTTATTTTTCATACAAATGGGAACCCATAGCTTTCTTTCCATCTTCAGCTGTCCATGGTCTATACACGTACATTACATCATCGTTGTTATCTCCTGCTCTAAGAGTCACACAGTCTGTCTGGCTGTTGTGCAGTCAGAGCAGTAGGTGTAGTTACTAAGTCAGAAAGTGAGGGGTGTGGTGGGGGATCTGGACGTGGTCCTGGCTGTACATGTCTTTCGCTCCTATTTGCTGTGGCGTCTTTTGTCCTCCTTATCCACTAAGGCTAAGGTCTCTTTTTCTTCCTTGTTTCTTTCTTTCACCTGTCTCGCTTCTTGCTTCTCCTAACCACACCCTCGCCTCTGTCTTTTTCTTATCATCTTTACCTTTTATATCCCTTTCACTAATTTAGTACATTCTGGTACAGTCAATTTGCCAGCAAAACCATATTTCTTTTCCCACTAGGGCTGAACGATTTTGGAAAATAATCTAATTGCGACCCCCAAAAGCGCTATGGACCCCAGACCGCATGTCCCGGGGGAAGCTGTACCCCGCCCCAAGGAAGAACAGCAGAGAGCCCTGCCGGGAAGCTCCCCGCCGCCAGGGAACAATAACGCAGAAGAACCAGGCCAACAGTCCCCCAGCCCAGCCAGAGGCATCCCTCCCCAGAGTGCAGGCAGAGCCAGCAGCCCCCGGAGGCCGATCTCATCCCTGGACAGGGGCCCAGCCCCCCCGGCCATGTGCCCCAGAGTCCTAAGGGTGTATGTTGTGAGATATGACCAAAGGGGGAAAGGTGAAGGAGGTCATAGGGAGGCTAGAATGGTCCTCCTCACTGGGACCAGATTCCTGACTGGCTCCATCATTCAGTTCCGTCCCCCACCCCCCTAAGCAGGAGGACGCCAGGTCCCTCCAGCCAAGGGCTTATAGCAAGAGCCCCTCTAGCACCGGCAGCACCCCAGAGTCAGCAACAACCCCGCCCAGCCCCAGGACGGATCCAGCCCCCCCAGCACGCAGACCCGCCCCAGAGGCTCCAAAGCCCCGAGCCCCAAACCCCCACACACCCACCGAGGCAGGTCAGCGCAGCCCCAACCCAAAGTCAATCAACCCCCCCCACAAGGGAGCAGGTCCGGGGCAGCAACGACCGAGCCCAAGGACAGAACAGCCCAGACTCGAAGGTCCTCCCGCACCCAGGAGGCAATGTCACTCAGGCCAGAAGACCCCCACCCCCTTCCCTCCCTAGCAGCGAAGCATCCCACAAACACACCCCCACCGTCCCCAAAGAAAAGAGACAGCAATCACCCCGCGACAGCAGCAACAGCCCCTCAGCCCTAGGGAGTCAGCAGATGCACCCAACCCCTAGGACTCAACACGACCACAATCCAGAGGGCCGCGATGCGACCGCAAAACAACCCTCGACATACCCCAAAGCACAATCCCTCCCCACACAGGATCCCCGTACAACCACCAAGCATCCAGTCCGGGCACTAAAATCCAGAGGAGACACCCCCCAAACAGCTCAAAAAGGACCAGCCCGCACCCCCAACCCACCCCGTCAACCCCTTCTTCCCGGTCCCCCACCCCTCCAACAACCAGTCGCCAGACCCCTCAGAGAACCGAAATACAATTATCAGGATGTACAGCATGCACACAGGACAGAGCCGCAAACCAGCCCAGTCCAGGCCCGCACCTGATGCCCCCAACCCCCGACAAGCACGCAAGCCAATCACGACCTACAGGTGAGCCAACCAACACTACCCTGCTGGAGCCAGTGGGCGGACATCTTGTCTCTGTGTGTGCGCTGCAGCTTAGTGTGTTTTTTCCACCAGTATTTGAGGGCGTGCCACACTATTGACAATAAGCCGAGCCCAGCCGACTTGGCAGGGGATGAAGGTGAGTGAACCTGGGTAGAGACAGACAGACAAACAGGATTAATGACTGAGGAAAAACCAAGGACAGGGAAACAGATCATGCAGGTTAAATAAGGGCTCAAAGGATCAAAAGGCACCGGGTTAGGGGCAACGACGATCAAGCAGAGGTAGTGTGGAGAACTGGGGTTGAAGTACTGGCAGAGGTGGAGTTGATTGCTGGCAGGTGTGGCAGGCAGAGGAGGAGGTTGACGAGATGCAGGTGTGGGTCGTTGGCTGGGCTCAGGAGCGGAGGGAGAGAGAGAGAGAGAGAGAGCACACACAGGGGAGGAGACACAGGGAGGCAGGCAGAGAACAGGGAAAACAGAATCACAGACAAAAAAAAAGGAGAAACCAGGACACTCACCGTCAAGCTGGGCTGCCACCACAACATCTTAACTCCCTTCGGGGTGGACTTTGTTTTTGTTTTTTTCTTTGCAAAATTCAAAATTGACGTATCAGAACCAGAGATATTGTCTTCTTTATTCCATGTATTCTTCTTCCTTGTGAAAATCTGATGCCTACATTATCCACCGGTTCGGGAGGAGATTCAGGTGCTATGTTAGCTGCGGCTAATGTGGACTGGAACCTGTAGTCTGCAGTAGAGATGAGCGGGCTACACGTCTGTTAAGGTCACTTCTTTCTAACTCATCATTTTCAACCACGGAAAAAACCAAGGAGTACGTTCACATCTGACATTAAAGACCATCTTAAACAAGGACACCATCTCCATCTCCTAAAGGAGGACACGACATGTGACTGAAAGCTTAAAAACTCAAAAGTGGCTGCTAAACTGCTCTTTCCAAGGTCAAGATGTTAAATTGATGCAGTCAAATGAACGGCTGTCTTTGAATTTTCACGGTGTCCAAAACTGTTAAAAACACATTCATACAGAATGATGGACGATCTGTTGTGGTGGCAGCCCGGCTGGCGGTGAGTGTCCTGTGCCCTGTTTCAGAAAGCAGGTTCAACAAACTCTGAGTGTAAACCTGAACTCAGGGTTGATGAACTCTGAGCAGTCAAACTGTGACAGTGAGAGTTTTCCGTTTCAGAAAGGCCGATCAGAATAAGTTCAGTCAGCTCTGAGTATGTTGAGCCTGATGGAAGTGCGTGCGTGGGGATGAAAAAAAGCCATCATCAATGGAACGCCGATACTACGATTCACCATGGCAAAGGGTAAATAAAGGCAGAGCCTCCATTTTAATCTGGTGGAGCTAGAAATATGAATGCGTGTCAACGCAGACCATGATTGGCTCTAAAACGCAGGAGTGGAGGATCGATACGTTAACAATATTACATTTTATACAGCGTTGCTCATTCATCATTTACCAGACTGGAATTTCCTTAATGATTGATAAAGTGCTGGAATTCTCCTACAGCCTGTTATTCATTTTAAATAGCTACAGGCCTGATTATTCAGCTGGAACCTGACGGGACTAAATGCCGGTGGCAATAACTGAAGATGAAATTATTAATCGAACAGATTCTAATCTGTAGTTTAGGCTGCTCATGGACCTGTGATTGTAAAGTGACAGGCTGACTCAGTAGACCTATTAATGATTTTTTTGTAATGTGTCTAGGTTCAAACTGACTGAAGTTTTAGACGTCTGTTACATTAATAAAATCTTGCTCATTTCGTATTTTATGAAATGCTGTCAAAACACATTCAGACTATCAGCAGATAATGAAAAATTCACTTTTATACTACATTCATTTGTTTCAGCTGCACCTCAGTCATCCTCACTCAGAAATATTCACATCATATCGAGCTGATAACTACGATAGGAATGTTCAATCTGTGCGACTACAATATGAAAGGTTACTGTTCATTGATCAGTTTTGTACAGATTACTTTAAACTGCAGCACTGTAGCGCACAGTAAATGTTTTGCCTTAATGTCCACAGAGTCACTGTGTAATAAAGGACAGTGTAGTTTATAGATTTTATTCTGTGCTGAGGATAAATTTACGATGTCCAAAGATAACTCTCTGTCCATACATCAATGACTGATTGATCATAAAAGCGTCATGTTCAAGATCATGTTTGGGGGAAAAAAAAAATCTAACAGCCTATTTAACCATCCTCGGTCTCCTGTCCCCCACGGCTCCCTCGCCTCTCCTCCTCTGCCTCACCAGCTCCTCAGTTCTCCATGCCCACGTTCCTCGGCGTCCGCCTCACCACCTTCTCTTCCCCAGCCTCCCTGTTCCCCTAAATAAATTATCTTTAACTGAGTGTTGCATTTGGGTCCTGATTCCTAACAGAACAATCAAGCCATCATGGACCAAGCACACTCTACGAATATTTAGTTATGCCCTTCGGTCTCACCAACGCCCCCGCCGTTTTCCAAGCCCTAATTAATGACGTCCTCCGTGATTTCCTCCACCGCTTTGTTTTCGTCTACCTTGATGACCGCCCAGCACACTGAGCACGTCCGTCTGGTGCTGCAGTGGCTTCTGGAGAACAGGCTCTTCGTCGAAGCAGAAAAATGTGAGTTTCATGTCCCCACTGTCCAATTCCTCAGCTTCAACATTGAAAAAGGGCGGCTCCGTGCCGACCCATCCAAAATCCAGGCGGTCGCTGACTGGCCTACCCCCACCTCCGTTAAGCAGCTGCAGCGTTTCATTGGG